TCACACGTTATAAAACAAAACGTTGTTGTTTTGGAGCAGTTTATCCTTTGATTCCTTTCATATCTGAATCAGCCATAAGAAACTGTCAGGCTTCAACACAAGTCTGTTAAAGGGAATCAATACAGATAACTTATTGTTAAAGAAATGAGGGTTATGCTTTATCTCTTTGTTGTGACCTCTGTATGAAGGGGTTACTGTGAATTTTAGATGGTCCTTCTGCCTTAGACTCCATTTTCAAGCCCTTGTTAAGATCAAGTGCTTTCCTCACATTAAAAAGCATTGGTTCGAAATCAAGTACCGGTGACACTAGAGTGATTTCTTTGAACCACAGAAAGAAATGGTTTAATCACGAGCAGAAAAATCCTGTTTAAATCGACATTCCCAACATTGAAACATCTACTTTAAGACCAGAAACTTTTACATCCATGAAATGTACATGAATTTAAAGTTTCTGGCCATGAAAATGGACGTCCTTAATAAAGGCACAAAGATGTCATGATCCAAAAGAGTCATGTTTGACTTTACTGGATGTGAAACTAATACAAGCTACATTTATCACACTATCAAAACATCAATGACAGATACACTTCATGTTCATGATGACACAAACAATCCATTCAAAAGCTCCTGTAAGATGTTAAGAGTACTTATAGTAATAAGTTAGACCTTGGCACCGTCTTGCGAATGATTCAAATGGATCACAACTCAAATTTTATTGCAACTCCTATCTCTTCAGTACACAGTTGTGATTAATTTCAAGTTGCAATTTATTTGAATCAATCGAAACTCTTTATAATACAAGGTCCTGGTAGTTGAAATTTTTGGTATTAAGAGCAAGCAACAAAAAGCCAAACCAACTGATCTTTATATCGAGCAGGATTCATTTCCAAAAGGTACATCCGTAATCTAGTATCACAAGACATGTCTGAAGGAGATTGTTATTGGTATAATTTCCTTTTGATATGTAATAGATTTATATTTACAATCATTTGATATTACTTTCAGTTTCTTTTATAGCACGAAGGATCTCAAACGGTTCTGAACTTGGAACTGATTTTCTTTTGACTTTTCAGAATATATTTTTTCTGTTTAATTATAACCAACAAATGAGTTTTCTGCTACTCGATCAGCCAATGTCTACAAGTAATTTTTAATGGAAATATTAATAAGGTTTGTTCAACAACAGAAATCTACATTTCTATTCTCTTTAACCTAAACAGTTACTCTACAGTTACATAAATTGGTCAACAAACTTGTACTTAAAGGCATTGTTTAACAATATTTCCAGTATTACAAATCTGAGACGCAATGGCCCTACGTGTTATCAGTGTCTGTGATATGGTGTAATATTGAAGCCCTAAAGAAATTGCACTTGAAAATGATCATAAAGTGCTTTAAAACAGTAAAATCTTTGAGTTACCGGTTTTACCATACTAATTTTCTCCAATAGACTGTAGTGTAATAAAAAATATTGGGAAAATGGTTTTTGAAATTTCGAATTCCAATCATAAATATCTTGATAATCAAACATGCGATCGGCTCGAAAAAGTCATGGGATTCCTGTCTGACCTAAAGGTTTATACATGTAATTATGATTGCAGCATGAGCTAAATCCAAGATTTTGTACAGAGAATCTAAGGCAAAGATACCCAATCCCTTTAACCACACATAACAGTTTTTCCCCATCTTTTAACACAGGAAATGTCTTCCTACAGCAATGCACTCCAAAAAACATCAAAGAAGAATAAAAGAAGATAAATTGAATTTACACCATTTTTGTACCAAAGAGTGTTCATTGATTTCATCTTGTATGACAGCACTTCAAATCACCACAGTAGCAATGTCTTTTGAGCCAGAATAGGTATCTTATATACATGTAGCCTTATACAGTATTAACAGTACAGTATTTACATCATCACTCAATAGAAATCCCATAGATATACAAAACAACGGTCCAAATCCATTGCACAGCAAGGCAGCTCTGTCATTCTTGTAATTGAATTTTGTCACTGCATGCCATGCAAATCTGTTGTGCATTCACAAAAAGGTTTGATGGAACGACTGATTTCTTTGAATGCTTGATTACGGCATACAACAATCAATATTACAGCATTTGCATAATATGTATTTTCTACTTTTATTCACACTACTGCTACTGCTACTACTACTCCTACTACTATTTATAACGATAATGCTGCGGCTACAACTACCACTACTATCACTTCTACTACTACTATCTCTACCACTATCACTACCACTACCACTACTATTACTTCTACTACTGTCATCATTACCACTACTACCACTACTGCTACTACTACCACTACCACTACAGCTAATGTTACTACTACTGTTACTTCTTCTAGCTTTTACATTTGTTTTCAATGTTACAGACAAACAAATTTCAACTACTGGGTTCTAATAAGAAATGTTAAACGTAAACATTACATCAAATTCAGAGCTGCCAACCTCCAGAACAGAAAATCAGTAATCACAAGGCTCAAAATCAGTAATTTGGGGTATAAATCAGTAATTTCTTATGCGGCGCTATGAATCTAAAAAAACGACACGCCAACACTGCGCGGACGCATGATTATCTGAAATTTTTGGTGATTTTACTCACACAAAGATGTTAAGTATTGAATTTCAGGTCATCACAACACAGTTTATCATGAAAAATGGCTCCTATTCACAGCACTCGCTACGATAAATCATATTTTATTCATTAAAAAAAAAAAAAAAAAAAAAAAAAAAAAAAAAAAAAAAAAAAAAAAAAAAATTTTTTAAATCCGTAATTTGAGACAACATTCCGTAATGGTCGTTAATTTCCGTACCAATTACGGAAAATCCGTACTAGTTGGCAGCTCTGCAAATTGTATCTTTACTTGGTCACTTCAATTGGCCTAAGGCAATTAGTAATACACCCTTCTCTTGTTTTATTAAACCAACACAAACATGACATAGTTGTTACAAAACAAGACCTCTAGATACTACAGGGAATAATTTTCCTGGTATCGCATCGCAATTTGCTATGCATTTTTGCATGACTGCTATACAAAATATCTTTTGTGTAGCAATTTTCTTCCATAGAAATGTACAGAGTTTCATTTGAAATATTTATCCATTGGCTGAAATTGCTAATCAAAAAATTTGAGGAAAATTATTCCCTGTACTACACTAACAAAGAACTTTTTGGGTCCGAATCTGGAAAACTATTACAGAGTCAGTTATGCTATAATATTAGCACTTCTTTAACGAACAAAAAAAAAAATGTGCCTTTTTATATTTTAAAATTAGTCCTGACTACCCATTCAAAGAGTAATGCAAGTTAAAACAAGAATATATGGTTATAAAGATTTGAGCTACATGTAGTATCATATTCACTGAGTTAATATTTAGCATATAGCCTTGCAAAATATGCAGGCAAGGTGCTATGTGATGCGATAATACGATACCTCAGAAACGTCCGCAGAAACTGAGGACTGCGTTGATATATTTTTAAAGGAGTGATGTGAATTTGATAAAAAAGGAAAATAATAAGATAAAGCACAAATATTATATACCGTAATGCATTTGAAGAAAATTGCAATTTGACTCACATTACAGTTTGAGGAGTATTTTGTGATAAAATATGTACTTTTATTTGGTTGAACAAATCTGGGTTAGTCATGAGTGTTTTTAAGCAGGAACTTAGAAAAGTATCAACAAATAGAAAACATGAGTTTCCTTCAAATGAATAAGCAAGGCTTGAATTTAAATGCTTCAATCAGTAAAATAGTTCAAAAGTGTAATTGGCAGATGTGCTTGGTATAGGATTCCAAAAATGTGTAGAATCAATAAAATATGAAATAATATTTTTTAAAGTTGACTTTGTATACTAATCCAATGACAAATTATTAGCTGATGAAAAGCATGTCACACACAAACTCTGAAAAGGCCATATGATAAAGAGATGATTAAAAACTCAAATCATCCCCTTCTCTACAAGATTGCTCACTCCTTAGCTTTTCTTCTTTGATGTGATATGACACCAAACTGTGGAGACGGAACACCTCTCAAAAGCAGTATAATTTGTACATTACTTTTACCTTGTACCTTTCACTCATGGCTGTGAAAGATAATGTGTGGTGTAAATCTATTGTCCAGGGCCGGTATTCAATTCAATACTTAGCATAAGTAGGAAATTTACTAAGTAAATGGCTAAGTTAAGTAATTTACTTATCTCGTATTCAAATCGCATTTTAGACTTATACTTACGCAAGACAAAATCTAAGTAAAATACTTTAATACTGATAAGCATTGTGACGTCACACGGTCAATCAAAAGTAATGCGCGATTGATGCGTTGCAATAAATGCGCGCTGATATAATTGTGCGCAGGTTTATAATACTGCGTAAGAATACCATATGCCTGCCGATCAAGGCCTCAAAATAATTGACTTAAGTCTTGTATGGAGTTGGCTTAGATTTAGAGTAAAATACTAAGTAAAAAGCTTAAATTTTGTACTAAGTATTGAATTGAATACGGGCCCAGGTCTTGCCTTTGCTCTAGTGAGTTTACTAGACATAAATGTGCCCACCGTCACAGGCTTTTTGAGATAGAACCTTCTGACAAGTTCTCTCTCATTTTTAAGCCTGCCACATACGATACTTCAATCTGATTTTGCAAGAAAGTGTTTTGAGCCATAGGTGTTTTTTTTTTGGGGGGGGGGGGGGGAAGGGGGTGTCATATATTTTGGACAGTTAATTACGCCGTCTTGTCTAAGAATCCTGGCTCTGCCACTGCATATAAACACAAGTTCACATATAACTGTATGAAGACGCCTTTAATAAGTAATGGGAAGAAACACGGTTTCAAAGGAAAGTTTAAATGATAGAAGTACAACTGGGAAGCATGTACATGTACATAAGAAACCATACATGGTACTAACCTTAATGGCTGTGAGGAGGTTGATCGGGTGTGAATTTTGCCTTCATCTAACCTACAAGAAGGCAAGTAAAAATAACAATACAATGACATCTTTAAAACAATTATTTCAAATGCATACAAATTCGAAACACCTTGGCTGTACTTGACATTGAGTGTAGTTTTAACACCCTCCTGCTATGATATTCCACATTTATATCATCACTGTTCACAAATTTAATAAGAAGTTCACAATTCCACATAAAACTTACAGGTGTACATGTACACAAAATTACATTGCAAGATTATTTGAATAAACTTGTAGATTGCTGTCTTCCATAAAATAAAAATGTCTTTACAAAGTTTACACTTTATTTTTTATTTTCAACCTATTCCTGAGTCCATGATAAATTGATTCAATCAGAATAAGATTGTAATAAAGAGATGATGGGTCAGTCTATGTTTAACATACATGCAAACCTGTCTATAAAGGCCTGCAAAAGGGACAATGAGAAAGGTGGCCTTTCCTAGACAAGTTATAAAAGACAAATTATCATCCGAGAGGGAGACAATTAAGGGTGACCACTACCGTATATACAGGAAGAAATGAAAGGTTGCCACTACGGCAGGCTTGACTGTGTTAAAATGTTACAAAAAGACAGTGTACACTTTATCAACTTCGTATTAAATGAAAACAACATTTTCAACTCCGTCTCTTCCCCTTTCTAGATATTCCCATCAAGTTTTCCAATGCTAATTTAAGGAACACTCTTTTAGATTACCATAGCTTGCATTTCTGGAGATCTTAACGGAATTAGTTTCAGGGGGATCTCACATTGGCTCCGGGGATAGGGATAAGTGCAATGAGGTTTAGGCTAGATTTAGGGTTAGGGTCGAGATTAGGTAAAATGCCAAGACCAGGGTGGACGTCAGGGGTTCGGTTAGTGTAAAGAATAAACCACAGAGCAAAACATTCTCGCAAAACTTGTACTGGAGAAACTTTTTCAGGCTGAGGAAATCGAGGGGTCCATGCAGCCACATATCAGTTACCTAATTTACCTCGACATGTTCATTTTCATCCCACACACACCCAGGCCCATAAAAAATATTCTCCCAGGTCTAGAAGATGGAGAGAGAGAGAACGAAAGGAGTATAAAGAGAAACAAATAAATATTATAAGAGACAAATACAAAGCACAAAATGAGAGAGAGAGAGAGAGAGAGAGAGAGAAAGAGGGGGAGAGAGAAAGAGAGGGGGGGAGGAGGGAGAGAGTAGCGAGAGAGAGAAAAGGAAATGACAAATACAAAGCAGGAAATAAGTAACAGAATGCAATAAGTGAGAGAGAGAAAGAGAGAGGGGGTGGGAGGGAAAGGGATAGAGAGAGAGAGAGAGAGAGAGGGGGGTGGGAGGGAAAGGGAGAGAGAGAGAGAGAGAGAGAGAAAGAGAGAGAGAGAGAGAGAGAGAGAGAGAGAGAAGGGGGGGGGGGGGGGGAGAGAGAAAGAGGAATAGGGAACAGACATTGGCTAACTCAAACCATTAGAATACAAGAATTATCTCGTTTTTCATTACTAAAAGTACCAGCATTATTCACTGATTTTGAGCTCTTCTACCTTACGATCCTGAAATTGCAGTATCAAATGACAACAAATGCCTATTTTTGTCTTCATATATTTTACCAAAAAAATAAAAAATAAAACAGTTATCACACTAATGGCTGCACCTCACAATGCAAAAGTTATCCCTTTGCTTCTCCAGGTATTCGCAGTATAAAGTATACGGGAATGATAAAATACAGGAGCCACTAGTATAACAAGATTATATGGTGTAAAATGAAGATAATGAATTTAAAGTAAATCAAATTAGTGTAAGTAACCTGACGCATGCTCTGGCAACATTGCACTGGGCTTTATCGAGTCCTAAGATGCTTAGGGTTACGAATAACATTTGGTACATGGCTGAAGTTGGGGATTCGGTAAATGTAGAAAATTGACTGCTGAACAATTATCACCAGAGCATGTATCGTAGGATCTCTTGCTCACATGAAAATGGATAGATTTTTTTCTTTTTCCCCCAATATCTGTGATATATGAATATTTATGATATAATAATGATAATAATAATATTGGATATTTATATAGCTCACATATCCACCCTGCAAGGTGTTCAAAGTGCTCCAATATTACCCTGGCTCTGCTAGGCTACCGATTTCGGTGCTCACAGCATTCAAGGATTTCCTTCCTACCGGTACCCATTTACTTCACCTGGGTGGAGTGTGGCAAATGTAGATCAATGTCTTGCCAAAGGACATTAGTGCCGCGGCGGGATTCGAACCGCGGACCTTGTGATCGACAGTTCTGTGACGTATCCACTCGTCCAGGACACCTCTACATATGAAATGTGATATGTGTGATTCTTACTTGAGACTGCCCGTGGTGGCCGACCTTGCCTTCCTTGAGACCTTGAGCTGTCGAAGCTTGTCCCCTTGGGTCATGGCTTGTGAGCCGCTCAGTGTGGACCGAAGCTTGTATTGTTCACCAGGCTGTGTGGTTGAAGGAATCAAAGATATTAATTGTCTTATTGAATTAAAATCAACAAAAATAATAGCATGTTTGATATCAAAGATTATGTCTGATAATGTTTTAAAAAAAATGTAATTCATACTACAGAAAGATCTTATGGATCTCAGCATACAACATGCTTTTCTCAATATATAACATACATGTATGAATGAGTCAATCTTTCAAACTGATAAATTATTAAAATATTGACAGACAATACACCTGTTTGCCCCAATTTACAAAACCATGTCATTGGACTAGATTAAGAACTTATAAGTGATGCCAATGCACTTTATTTAGATGATAATACAATGGCCTAGTTAAGGAGCTAAGAAATAAAGGGAAAGCCCTAAGAAGCAACAAAAGATGTCCTAGATAAGAAGAGGGATGAATTTTTTTTTTTTATGGCAAATTAGAGAGGGAGGGACATCCCCCCTCCCCATTCATGAAAGATAACATCAGCAGGTTTGGGAGAACATGTGAATTGTGACTAAAACCCTCTGTGATCAATGTTCTAAAACAGAGTGCAATAATGGAGCTGTCAGAAGATCATGCATGAGCTCATCTTGACTGATAGGATAACAATTTCACCTGGGGAGAATTTGTAAGATGAAGGCAAATTAATAAGATTCCCAGATTGATTTTGAACATTAAAATAAGACTGTTACAAAGATGTTTAATTAACTATTGTACTTGGAGAGAGTTTGGTACATAAATTAACCTCGACACAGCTCACAGAGTAATTTTGTACATTTTAACAAGACTGTAAAAAGGTTTTAATTGAAGATGCAAGTTTATAGACCCTCATCACATCCTCAGTAATCATCACGAATCCCACTTAAAATGCCTTTTCTCAAGGAGTTTCTATTAGAATCTCTACCCTTGCATACGATCGCAGGATTAATAGCAGCAGATCAATAATCAATAATCAATAGAGCTTGCAGGGCAGCCAACCCAGTCACAATAGACCTGGGTTCTAAGTGGGTGATTCTGAATAGAAGACTCAGACTACTACCTCTCCCTCTAAACAAAAGTGGGATACCAGTAGCTTAGGACTACAGTCAATATTGTCCTCATGTTTGGCATCATATGACTCTCCTACCATTGTCTCTTTGAGTTATATGGTGTATGTGATCTTTTGATCAAGAAATGAAAGAGAGAGATTCTCAATGGAGTTTCGGTCCAAAGATTGATTTGTATCATTTGAACAGCGAGGTGGCTCAGTCGGTAAAGTGTCTGCCTGTCGAACCAAAGATCTCAGGTTTGAATCCCACCCAGGCGGATGACTGAAGCCTGCATTGTGTGTTAACGTGCCCCTCCCCTTGTTTCATAGACGCAGGCTATGTTAAGTGGAAAACACTCTGTCCCTCAGATAGGATGTTAAATGGAGGCCCCATGTAAAGGAGAGTCACCAACCCTTGCACGGAACCCACTGCGCTATTCGTATAAGAGTAGGGGGGAAACCCTGGTGTGGTGGTCTACCTGAACACCCCAGTATATACAACTGCAAGAATCTTCAGGATTGAAGGAGGCAGATTATCAATTTGAAGAAGAAGAAGAACATGGAACAAGGAAAGAGATTAAAGATTCATTCCAGTTGATAAGACCCTGTGCTCAATAGTAAGTATTGAGGATGTGATGAGGGTTCTGTCTTCAAAGACAAATTCTACATGTATTTGAAGAGTTGCTCTGTAAAACGAGAGGGCGAAAATGTTGGACCATGCTCACATTGTACACATTTCGGGCATACAAAACTTGTATAAATATGTGTGCAAGTCATATGCAGAAAATGTATATGATCAGAGAAAATTGTAAAGCATAAATTATTGCGCACCATACATTCTCAACATGGACCGATTTGATCATGACAATCTTTATTAAATCACTGATATGTGACCAGCCTTTAAAGGAGGGTGGAGAAGAAAAACATTATAATCAATGAAATTCAAGAAATTTAGAATATTGTGCCAGATTAACACTTCATAAACAAGATTCAATTCAATTAATGATTTGAAAAAACCACTGACACTGAAAAAACAATCATTTAAACAAGCCTCCACGAGCGATTCGAAGCGAGAATGTGAAGGCGATCGTTTTTGGTCTAAGGGCTGTGACGTAAGAGGCAGCGATGGAGGTGCTACACAAATAGCCTTTGTTTGCCCTTTTCTAAGAATACTTCCACCTGTGTGTCATGGAGTGCACTGCTGGTGCATAAATGAATAATAATTACATAACTTTCATGAGCACGTATCCATTATTCTGTCTCCGTGTATTTCACAATTTGGTCTGCAATGACCTTTATCTGCTCATGCTCAGACTGCAACTATGAACTGGCTTCTTAGCGGCGGGTCTTCCCTCTTACGTCACACAAGTCCCGGATGTAAAAACAGAGTATAATACACAGCGGACAAAATTTAGAGTTGCAAATCGGTCACTTCAAACGAAGATTTCTTGGCTGGATGACATTGTTTGGCTTTCATACTTTATTTCATTTATAATACTTTCTTCTTTATATACATGCTAAATTTATCAAAATCTGACAACATTGTTTTTCTTCTCCACCCTCCTCTAAGCTGCACCTACCCCATAGGATATTCCTCTATCGTCGTTGATGGAGATATCGTCTACAGCACTACAGAGTATCCTGGACACGCTGTTCTTATTTGCAATCTGCCCTTCCCTGGCCTTCTTCCTAAAGATGTCTCCTTGCACCCACATCGCTGCTTGCTTCCTGAAAGATTGATCAAATTAGAAATTAACAATTAATAAATGAAGAGAGACTTACTACCTATTGATCATTAATTTCCAAAATATAAACTCATTGAAGGGGAAGTCCAAACTTATAATAAGTTGGCTTTAATAATAACAAAAAGAAACATATCAGTGAAAGATTGAAGAGAATATGATTAACAATGAGTGAGTTACAAATATATAAAATTGAAATTGATTACAAATGCAAATTGGCATATCTCTAACTCATGTATATAATAAGTTTGAGTACCTCTTTCATTTGTTTTGTACTGAAATTTTCTCAAATGACGAATTCCTCTGTTGCTGATGAAGGATTAGCTCTATTTCATAAATGAGTAGTGCAATCATGCAATAATCATAAATTTAAATTAAAAAAAAAAAAATCCCCCGTTCCACAGGGTTCTTTATTTTCAAAACAAATTCCATCACATTCAGTATATCCATACATTATATACAAATAATTAAAGACATAATTTCCATACACAATGGCTAAACACAGATAATAATCATCACGACCAAAAAACTTTGTGGCAGATGAAAATTAATGAAAATTAATATAAATTTTGATATTGGTTAAATTATTCTAAAAATCAGTTGCATAAGTTGTAGTCTACCAATACTTTTTCTACACATACATTGTATATCATACAAGTATAGTGTCGCTAGTTATAAAGCAACTCTCAACAATCAAAGACAAACAGGATACTAATGGAGTGTTCGGGTAAGAAGACTCTGCACTCACTCTTCCATGTAGTGTTGCTGAGGCCCAATGACTGAGCCTGGCCGACATATCCTCATCCAAGCTATCACCTCTGCTGCTGTGAATCTGAAGTGCTTCATGATGTAACATCCTATCAGTGTGCCCGTCCTGCCAAGACCAGCTGTAACAAGACAAACAACATCAAGAATACTGCTTTATAAATACAGTTTAACCTGTCTATAGCAACCGCCCAAGGGAAACACTAAAAGTGGTCTTAGTAGACAGGTTCATTTAGTACATGTTTCAATGAGAAATCATTTTCAAGGGAAACAAAAGATGTGGTCTTTGTAGAAAGGTTGTCTCTAAAGCAGGTTTGACTGTACAATACCAATTTCATCGTTTCTTAATCGAAAGAAAAAGAAAATCATTGCAAAAAAAAAAAAGAGTGCAGAACTATATGCCAACCTTTACATTCAGCTTTCAGGGAGGATTCATTCAGAAATCATGGAGGTTCTTATCAATTGCAAACAGCATAATAGGAGTAATCTTTCAACAAATCAGGAGGCATTAAAATTTGTATGGAGTGAGTATAATTTTTGTTGTTGTCTTTTTTGTTGAGGGAGCCTCCCTGAAAATCAGGAAGGGTTGGCATCTCTGAGAGTGTGCCATCTGTGTACGGGGAATGTTATCAAATTTTAGTGTTATCAAAGAATTCCCTATATCAAATGGTTACTTCCTAACTAATACCAATGGTGCAGTGGGCTTTTAAATGCATTTGTGATGACTGTCCTACACACAGGACCCCCATATACAGTGAAACCGGTCTATAAAGACCACCCAAGGGAGGCAAGAAAAGTGTCCTATACTGTATATGTACAGGTTCCTTTAGTACATGTTTCAATGAGAAACCATTGTCAAGGGGAACAAAATGTGTGGTCTTTGTAGACAGGTGGTCCTTCTATACAAGTGGTCACATAAAGAATACCCAGAGCATCAATACGAAAAGCCTACCTTTACAATGGACAGCGAGGGAACCTTCCGAACTCTCTGATATCGCAAGGAATTTCTGCAGGATCGAATCGCTGGGCGTGCTACCGTCGATAAAGAACAGGTCATAGTGATCGAAGCCAGCATCGGTAAAACGTCTGGCATCGTAGATCTTCTTGTTCAGTCGGACTATTGATGTGATATTGTGCTTTCGGAAGTAGGGGAAGTATGCCTCAGGTGCGTGGTATGGATAACCTGAAATTGGTTATAAAAGAACATCATTCAATATCTTCTTTATGGTTTTAATCATTCCCTACAAAAAGTAATATTTCAAACACTGGTCTTTTGCATAAAAAACATTTAGACAGTAATGAGATGATTCAGAACTCAACTTAAGCAGCTCCTGGACGTTACTTCGTTATATATATTTTTTGGTAAAAAAGAAGGGGGGTTTGCAGAAATATGGATTTACGTGCAGGTGGAGATTTTTTCCTCAACTTTCTCAAATAGAACTCATTTTGTATTCACAGCCAGCCTACAGTGTATATCTGTCTGACATTTGGTTGTGTCATACACAGCTGCAACATACAACAAATGTAAGTAAATGTAGGCATGTAGTCTACAGCTAAAACACTGCTCAGACCCATTAATGCTACTTACAGATGTACATGTAGATTGGAAAAGGGTGGAGAACACTACAATGATAATAACCAAAAGTTTTGAAAATTACCGTTTTCAATTTTGCTCTTTGGATGAGGCCCACTGAAAGCTAGGTACTTGTTGGGTACTATCCAATTGAAGTCTCCATTCTCTACTCTCTGTAAATATAAAGGATGAAAAGAAAAGGAATCGTATTAAATGTAAGGTTACATTGGTATTTGTACACTTCATAGTGTAAACAGAATATTACTCCAAAAGAAACGCAGAATATTTGTTTATTTTCACTTTTAAAGGATTCGTTTAACAACGCCAAATCTGAGATGAATGATCCTATGTTTTATCAGGATCTGTGATATGGTGTAATATTGAAGCCCTAAGAAATTGCGCTTAAAAATGATCATGAAGTGCCTCAAAAAAGTGAAAATCTTTGAGTGACCGGTTTTACCATACTCCTTTTCCCCATCAGACTGTAGTGTTATAAAAACTGTTACAAAAACGGTTTTTGGAATTTCGATTTCCAATCATAAATATCTTGATAATCAGACAGGTGATCGGCTTGTAAAGGTCATGGGGTTCCTGACTGACCTAAAGGTTTATAATTATGATTGCAGCAGGAGCTAAAACCAGGATTTTGTTTCAGAATCTGAAACAAAAATACCCTATCCCTTTAACACAAATTAAGGAGGAATACTGGATTAAATGATCAGTAATCATGAATCTTCTGGAACCAACCGAAAATTCAACCCAGATAGAAGTAGTCAAACCTGCTTTTTAATAGTGACTACCTGTATAGAAAGGCCACCTGTTTACAAAGACCACATGTCGTGTTTCCCTTTAAAATGGTTTCTCATTGAAACATGTATTAAAGGAACTTTTACATAAAGACCACCTGCCTATAAAGATTAATTTTCTTGTCTCCCTTGGGTGGTCTTTACAGACAGGTTTCACTGCATATCATTGGCAATGTCTTGTACTCTGTGAGAGGTTTATAATTATCCGATGTGATTTATTAATGTCAAATGTATCTCTTTAACACACAGAGAGCCATAAGGATATTCTTAAAAACAAGAGTTAACCTTTTCTCGTTCTCAATAGACGATATGAAGCGGAAAGCAATTTCCTCAAAATGAAACTAATATGTATGGGAACTTATTCATTCCCTTGCGATCTATGTCAACAACACATTGTTAAGTTTCTGCACAATACAATGATAATAAAGCTACATGTGTCAATGATTTGTGCAAGTGCACAAATGTATTGCACCACAGATCTGTAAACATGGTGAGAACAACGTTTTTCTGAAGGGGCTTGTTTGAACTTCATACAAAATATGTGTAGGAGATGAAAGAGAAACTGAACCAAATACTACATGTACCTACAATGTACAGTTTATAGAGAATAGTTTCTTTAAATATCTTGCCATACATGTAGAGTTTACTTGAAACTTCTGTATTCTAGATAAATTATGGAATATTCACTAATAATAGTATGTACATTAGTATTCATAATAAAATTCTTGCCATCAAATGTCAACATTTCCTTGTCAATGATATCTTCTTAATAAACTCAAATATCATGAGGGCAATTTCAATGAAAAATAGCAAGCAAAATACATTGACCTGATTATGGATGTACATGGTGGGATTTCATTTCCGTTAATAAGGATTTCGCTTTAAAATGTCAACATTTCCATATGATATGACTGAACTCATATATTATGAGGGCAACTTCAATGAAGAATACCAAGCAAAATACGTTGACCCGATTTATCCATAACAGTACATCAGACTTTAGTTCAATGACCAAGAAATATGCTAGAAAAGAAACATTTTTCATCTCTCCTCTCCTCTTCTCAAAAACTGCCTCGAGCGGAACAAACATCACGCTCCAGCACGTCACACCGCATCCCTCCCCTGTTCACGGGAGAAAGCGGGATGCCTGTCGCTAGGCAACGCGCAATGATGTAAATTTGCTGAAGGAATCAAATCAAATTGGCAAATCATACTCATGCATACAAATCAAGTGGCGCCGCCACCACGAAAACAACAAGGAATTCTCAATTTTGATATGGAATTCAAAGGGGTCCCCTTGCATGTTATTGCTTCTAGGGCATGGTTTTAAAACAAAACTGCTGAATAACAAGCTGACTGCTTTCTACATGGGCATATCATCTGCTGAGAGCCAGAAGGGCATTAGCTCATGTAAAGCGATACGCGTTAACGTCTTCCTAGTTCTCAGTTGCCGATCTCATGCATAAACCTCCATGGTAATTCTCGCTACCCCAAATAGCGATTCTGCCGAGATCCGGGGAAAATCCTGAAAACGCGCATTGCATTATGGGATAGCTTTTCGACATTACAGCTTCCTGTGCAGGCGCTATATTACTAGGCGCGATAGCGCAAACGTAAAACACAACGTGTATACACCGAATATGTCGTCTGCTCGGTCTTTTTTTTTTTTTTCGCAAATATTTCAACGTTTATTTGAACATTTCATTCGTTGTTTTTTGCGTCTTTTGACATCAGTGACGATGGTTTACTTTTGTGAGGCTGCACAGTGCTGGGCTCATGATTCCAAGCGTAAGAACCCTGATTTTAGCGTGCGTGAAAACTCTGCACAGCGAACACAGGCGCTAGCGCCAGCGGGATGGGACTCTATACCGGAAGTTGTAGTGACGACCCGAGAGAGTGAAAATTACCTCGTCTCGCGAATTTCGAGATTTTCGTACCTATTTAGGGTAGCGAGAATTGATACTTCATCAATTGACATTGTCATTTTGGCGGGCTCTATCTGTTTCATGGATTTATTCATGAGCACTTTTGTCATTCAATCACCCGTGCAGTCAATTTAAAGCATGTTTATCCCGATCCCTCTAAGAGATGGGACTACATGAATGTATGTGCAGCAATACTGCAACAAGAAATAATGTTAATCAAACAAAGTAGAATTAAAATGTTTGTAAATATACTCAAAGGATACGTATTCAGAAGATAAACATAGTTATGAAGAAGCATTGATCTGATTATTTGACAAATTAGTAACCAAAGTATCAAAAGCAACAGTTCTACATGTTATTCAAAGCGTTATTTAATATTTAATAAGCACTGTTTAATTATTTATTATTATTTACAAAATATAGCGTTGAATGTGTACCTGTTCCTACTGAAAATCATGTAGTACAGAACACATATTCTATGAACGACATAACTTGAGAAGAAATATGGCAAAAATTACATTGAATAATGCCCTTCTGGATGAGGCAAGTTCCCTTTTCAAATCATTGCCAATCTAAGCCTGTAATCCAAACAATTTAGAATGCAGGCATTACAAGAGATGCAGTCAGACTCCTCTGGATGTTGAAAATTGTATTTCCAAATTGGAATTTATTGGACTTCAATCAAAGCTACTACGGTCAAACAAGTCATGATTGTGAGTAGCTGAATTTTGAAAATTGAACCAAGTATTCATACAGATTGCTTTTCCTGCAACCGAACTGGAGTCATGTTAATCAAGGAAAAGAAATTGACTCAACTCCCTATTCAGTAAAACCTGTCCCCTAAACAACAACCTGTATTACCCAGCTGCACATTCTAGTTTCCATTGAGAACTTTTTTACTCCCACACAGACTTGACTCTTCTTTTTATCAAAATCTTTCAAGCAGTAGGCCTAACTAAAACCATATTTGAAAATTGGGAAATAGAAAGAGGCTCCAGCCCTCTTCCGTTTGTTTGAAGAAAAACAAAAATTCAACGTCCACCAAGAGCAAGAATTTAGTATTAAAAAATAATGCAAATCTTTATTCATAACTTTGACTTTGAATGAATAATCTAGGGCAATGATCATGAAAAAGAAACAGGCTCAAATAGTAATCTTGATGTATCGTAAACAAACAAACTTGTAGATTTATGGCTTTCCATTAGACCATAAAGGGATCTGACCTCATTTTTTTACAAATCTAAAACGCTTCTCTTTTCAAATGGATTCTTCTCTTCATACAGCGGTCCAAATTATTCCAACTCTGGAGGCCCCACCCCCCCCCCCCCCCCTTGTCATCTAACTTTACAGATGACTACAGATGCCTGTCCATGAGCGAGACCCAGAATGTAGGGGAAAAGAAGAAAAAAATACGCCCACATCGGTCTCGTCTCACCCTGGCATTGACCTTGGCGTGCCTCCGAGTCGACCTCTAGATAACCTTTAGATTCCTCAGAATGATCAGATATGAAATATTGCTGGTTTATTTATAACCATTTTGGAGTATTTTGTTATTGCGGTCTTGGTCGGAAACAATCTGATAGGAATGGGTTTTAAATAGTTGGGCTACTCTTGAAATTTAGTGCTGAAACTGGAGCTTTTAGGTATGATAGGACTGTGTGTTTAGGAGGGCAAAGATACTTGCCACCCAAATTCTAATAACAAAATAATATCAATCTCTTTCAAATGTAGGCGACTGAGGTACCAGTTAAAATCTACACAACTGGTGTGGGATTTATGTGTTTGTTTTTCTTGTGCTCATGAATTTAAAGGTTTCAGGATTTTCATTGTTTCAGATGGGTAAACGGAAGATCATCCACGATATCCAGTTGTTATGACTGAAATTGAAATCATTGTCGAACATAACATTGACTACATGCTTGTAATAGAAGTTTGAAAGAAACCCATGTTCATGTACAATGTTTGCTTGCTCAAGCGTTATTCCTGTGAAGCTAAGCAATAAATAATGGAATCAACACTTCAGCGATTGCACTCTGCGGTATCCCCAGACACGACAATCTGACGAAAGAATCTGAATATCAAATCTGGCGTACCTCGTAATGCTCGTACTCCTCCACATCAAAGTTCTCAAAGTCGAGGAAGCCGTGCGTGACTGCCTTGTCGATGCCCTTCAAGCAGTCCAATAGTGTAAGGTTGTACGTGCATGCACCAAACGAAGCGTCCCTGCATTAGAAGACAAGAAGAAAGATAGATGTTAGAGGCAGTTTCAGGGAAGTGACGTTTGTTGCACATGTAAGGTTAAAGTATTCACATTTGATATCAAATGAACATAAAAAAGAATACTGTTTTAATCCACTATATTTCTTTCAGGATGGGAGAACCATCATTTTAATTTAACACTGACCGGAGTTATGCAACAGAAAAATCTGGAAAAAATTGATAATCAAACATTCAAGGAAGAGTGCAAATTGATAAAAAAGAAAAGGATAAAATGGAATACCAGTTTTGCTGACTTTGCTAAACTTCAACTTTATACAATCATACAGGGAACTGAGAATTCCCATATGATCTCTCTGCTACAATGGCAAGTACATCAGCTGGTGTGGCGCTTTCTAACTTTTCAGAATTGTTTACAAGCCAATGCTAGCATATCTGAGAGATCGGGGATAGTCCAGCTACTCCAGCAACAATTACATACATTTTATGTTTTGCCCCATGCCACGTCAACACACACTATTTGAAACTTTGAAGCAACAGTCTACATCAAAGACTCCAATATCGGACTGAGTGCTGTGCCTATGATATTCCACAATTTTGAATTTTAAAGTCAATCTATGTACGGGTGCTTCAGCAGCGCCCCTAAATTAGGGCACAGTGTAAAATGACTTTTAGTCTTAATGTGAACAGGGTCTAGTGCTGGTTCAGCTGCAACCCTTTTACACCCACACTTATAAATAACTGATACAAGCAAACACACAAGAAGTACCTAATAAGGGCCTCCGTCAGGTAGAGATAATGATTATACTGCAAAAACCACCTGTTTGCATTGAACTTTAATTAAGGATCTAGCTAACCCTTCCCCCTTTATAGAAAGGCTTTCTTCATACAGTGCATGTACCTCAGACAACAGTAATACACATCAGCTACATGTATTAAAGACTATAAAGATTAAGTCAAAACATAAAGTGTATGTATAAATTGTCTATAAAGGCCAGAGTTGTTACAAATAGCAAAGAGTAAAAAATTCTATGAGGATCTATGACATACTCAAAGGTGGGGGGGGGGGGGGGGGGGGGGCAAAAACAGCACAGGTTTTTTGTAAATAATGCAGATCTCAACGTCTTTGTATCCACACCAATAGACTCTGCAACATTGTCATGAGGTTAACGTTACAAGTGGTCTGTATCAACAGGTGGTCACTGAATGTTTGGAATCTCCATATTATATGCCCTCTAACAGTTTGAACTTCAATAAAGAAAAGCCTACCCATGGGCATTCTCCCCTATTGGCCTGTACCCCACCACGCCCCCCCCCCCCCCAACCACCACCTTGCCCCATCTTCGTAACCACCTTCGCTGCAAAGTTTCAGTAGTCCATTAACTCATTATTTATAAGAACCCACTTCATGCAGGACCCCGTCCAGAAGCCTTGTACCCCATCAATATTCATTTCTTGCATGAAGATGATGACTGCTATGGTAAGCTGGCATGCATGCGAGCAGCTTGGCTTGGGATTAAGGGTAAAATCTATCAGCCTCTGTGAATGTCCCCGTAAATTGATTAGAGAAAGATGAAGGAGAAGAGAGCATACAGGTGCATCTTAGGGTTGGCTAGAATTTCCTGCAGGATATATAAGTTAAGTAGATGAGCGAGGTCTAGTGGTCTACATACAAAAATGGATTCTGACTGTAAAGAAGCAATATATTTATTGAATTTAAAAAACATAAAAGTTAAAACCTACCCCTTTTTCAAGTAACCTTTGCATTTTTTATATCTATCAATAGTCTATCCTCTTGGCCTTCTGAATAAAGTTCATAGTTTCTTGTTTTGAAAGTTGGATGGTATTCGTGACTACCGTTTAGAAGTACCTATAAAACCATATCGGTAAAACGTACATACATAGCCTATTTCTGTCATCGTATTGATGAATCTTGTGACCTTTTATTGAATTCTTGCACTTTTACATCTATGGAATGTTGGCTTTTTGTCAAAGTTTCTTGTTTTGAGAATTGGGAGGAAGATATCCCATGGTTACATTCATTTCATACCTTTATCAAAATGTCAAAAAAACTTTACAAAGGATTATAGTATGTACACATATATGCACACATAGGCCTTTCCTATTGGAAATTTTCTGCCCTCTTGCACTATTGCACTTTTTACATCAATCAACGGTCCACATGATCATCTTGGCTTCTTGTCAAAGTTTCTTGTTTTGAGAGTTGGGAGGAAGATATTCCATGGTTACTGGATGGGCTTATGGCAGGACTGCCCACTCCAGTGAAGCAGAAATAGAAATGATAGTTTTGATATTCAAGGCTCTCAAAAAGTCACACAAAGGTCTACATGCGCTATCTCCACAGTCAGTAGGTGGGGTCGTGAGTTCAAACCCCGGCCGCGTCATACTAAAAGACGTTAAAAGACGGGAGTTGCTGCTACCTTGTTTGGCGTTCAACAATGAGGATCGTACAGTGAAACCTACATGTACCCTAGCGAACACACCTGTATAGAAACTCCACCTGTCTATTATTGTTCCCCTTGAAAATCATTTCTTATTGAAACCTATACTAAAGGAACCCGTATGTAAAGACTACTTTTCTCATCTCCATTGAGCAGTCTTCGTGTACTGTAATCTTAAACTTTTATCATAGGAAATTCTTTATGTCCGTAAGTTGAGGCTTGCGAAAGTTACTGGCATTATCAAGTCCTTAGCAAATTTTTGTTCTCTGTTACCAGTTAAAATGAAGCTACACGTATCATTAACACAAAGTTACAAAGGCAGATTTCATGTCGTCTGTAACATGTACATCTTCTACTTTGAAGAAAAGTAGAGACAGGGAGCAGTTTATACTCTAGATTCTGTAATAATTATTTTCATGAAAAGTGAGAAAATATCTTTCCTGGAAGCCAGACTAACAATAAGATATCATAATGATCCTTTAGCTTGGGTATAAAACCACAACCGGACATCAGTTGAGTTAACATATATGGCACTTATTCCAATATCATAGTTGGTTATGAACAACTGCTGGTGGATTTACGAACAATAAAAGCCATCTTAATAAGTGAGGTTCACACGATAGTCATCTAACTTGAAATTAAGGTCTTGTTTTTTAACTTCAAAGTTATCTTGAACGTGGTTACCAAACTTAAATCAAAATTTACATCAACAGGTCTTAAGTTTAGCGTGATAACTAAAAGTAGCGATGGGGGGGGGGGGGGGTCTTGACTCAAAGTTATGTATAATGCCAATGCAATTAAATATGAAATTACACATGATTGTAATTAAAATGCATGCTTTCACAGACATTGAATTCTCATTCTTTCTGTCCCTTGTGAACACTCATCTTTGCTAGTGGATTGTCGTTTATAACTTTGAAGTTTCGCAAACGTAGAGTTTAAAACTAGGATGGTATGGTCCCGTGTAAACATAGTCTTTGAAGCCTAGCAACAAGCGATTAAAACGTAAAGTCTAGTATTTACTGTGATTCAACAACAATAGCCCCTTAATAGCTGAGCTCTTAAGTAGAAAGTGGATGTTTGCACAGAAGATTTTCTGACAAGAGGGTTGTAGTTTTGTAAATTTGTTCTGCTCAGTTCTTATTTTAGATTTCTTGCATACCGAATTACCGATATGAACAAATGTAAGCCCAACAGCTTGTTATTTGAAATCCTTAGAGGTAAAATAACATGCTTCAAACAAGTCTGTTTTGCCTACAACAGGATCCAAAGACTATATCTTCAGACATGTACATATACACCACATACCAGTACTTAAGGCTGTAATTTCAACATTTATTTGTTATCTGTTTTAGTGATATGTCACCTAGATGATTTACATACAAAAGCCTTTCAGACAGATCATCCCCTTTCAAGTACTAATCACAACTATGTAAGAAGCCCATTATCTTTCACTTCGGAGGACTTTTCGGGATAAATGAACGAGTGCCTTTAGAAACAAGGCTATAGCCACATGAAATTAATATATCAGATTCGAGCTAATCTAAACAATGTATCAGTCACAGACAAACACAGAAGCCCCTAGAGGTGACGCCACATTAGAGTTCATCCCTGTTTGACCTTGAATCCATCCAGATTCTAAGGTAACACGGGATTCAAAATAATCGACTGGAAGGCAAACGCGGCTAAAGTTTCTCTGCCATTTTGTAGATTCAATGTCAAAGGCACCACGAGAGATCAGCTTGAAATGTTTGTGAGGTTGTGATTGTACCAATGGGCTTTGGATTCATTTCAATACATACAACATGTACATGTAGGCTATTGTCTGGGATATTCAATAGAGTTGTTTGGAGATACATAGCTTCAAGATCTTTCTTTAGTTTATTACATGACATGATCAATTGAACGAAATGTTACAAATTATGTACAAAAACAATGACACTGATTTTAAAGGTAAAGACCAGTATTGGAAATGCCCCAATTTCAAAAAATGAAATGGAAGCTCTTATTACCAATCATGTGAAAGAATATATTTTGACTAATACATGATGATAAAAATGTTGCCGGGAAACCGCCTACTAATTGATATATTTGCTAAATTAGTTTATCTATTGGACTGTGAGAGATAAACGCATGTGTCGCGCACGTACACGTAGTCCCATATACATCTTTCTGTGAACAGTGCTTGTAACTTTACGAAGACTGAGCCAAATTTCTATCATTTTGATGATTCCAGAACCTTGCAGTACACACCAATACTTATATGCTAGATGATCAACCTTTTCTGATCAATTCCATGCACATCGTATCTTTCACAATGCAATCGCATGATCTATTTACAACTTTATTACTCTATATGGTATCAGTCTTGGAGTAGATATCAATGATGAGAAGAAATGAATTCAAAATATAAAAGCAAGTATCAAAATGATTGATACGTACTTTCTTGAAACTTCACTAAATCTGAACTCACATATGTACATTTATATTTGTGAGAAATCAGTATCCTGGGCCCTGTTGAGTTGATATTAATCGCAACTTACA